TTTACCTTAGTTTTCTAATCTCAATTCATGACCATTTCACTTATGTCCTTCCACTCCTGTTGTAGGTGATGTCATCATGTTTTTTTTTGGGTCTTTCGTGTTTCTTCCAAACAACTACAACTTGTCAATTTGTGAGAGTTGGTGAAAACAAGCTATTTCAAAACTTTTCTCATTCAACAAGTAACTACCTCACTTGGTTATCTCATATGGAGATAGCTAAATGTTAAGATTGTAAGAAGTAAGAAATATTTGACATGATCAAACTTTCTTCTAAATACATGAAGTTTGAGGTTGACCACTTCTTCATACTTCTTTGTTATTGGCATGTAATTGTTAACATTTATGTCTTCCTCTAGTGTATGGTAACATTTATCTTCCTTTATTTAGTAGTCATTATTGGCTTGCCAGTTACTCATAGTAAGGCTCAAGTAGCCTATGATGCTCCCATTCCCAAACATAGGATATCCTTCTTTGCAATTACTCCCTCCGTTCCTTTTTAAGTGCCTCTTTTATAAAAAAAATTATATTTCATTTTAATTGTCATTCTTAAATTTTAAGGTAATAATGATTATAGTTTTGTCAAAATTACCCCTAACTATTTATTATGGAGAGAGAAAATTTTATATTAAAATAATTAAAAGTTAGAGGTATTATAGGCAAAAGAAAAATCATAGTTAAAAAGGTAATAACAATTATTAGATATCTTGGTAAGCATAAAAAGTCAAAAAATGACAATTAAAAAGGAACTAAGGGAGTACTTCTTGTCATTTCATATTTTTAGCTGCAAATGTCAAGAACATGAGCATGTTCACAAATAAATAGCAGCATGTTTTCTTGCAATATTGGTTTAGCAAGTTTTCCGCATGTAATGGTTCTTGTGAAGTAGTACAAGAATTGCAACTCTACATTACTCTATTCTATAGAATGAATGAGCAATGAAAAAGACATCAAGACATTGAACGCTCCCATATGGTTTCTTCAGTTGTGGCTCCACCTCTACTTTCCTTATTTTTTGAAGAAGAATTTCAACCCCATCTTTATCCATATAGATGGACGTGTCTTGTGAGAGTATTTAGTTCACTATCCTATGGAGGACGGTTCGGATCTTGTCTTCTTTGAGCATTGTGTTCATGCATGGGTTCCTTATACATGTGCAAATGATTTATCAGATGTTTTGTGACTTAGTTTATTTTTGATTTCAAGGTTTACATAACCTAGAAACTTGCCAAGCCTGGTTTGGAAAAGTCAGGAACAAATCCAAAAAATTAGGATCATTCTCTCTTCAAAACATTTTTGATCTCAAAATGGTTTATGATGATTTGACATATTTGATAGAAATAAAAGTAAGGTAAATTCACAGGCTAAGTACAATTAGCTAAGAATTTTGATGCTATGCTCCAAAGTTTGACTGAAGAATCTTTCGACAGAAATAGTTAGAAGATTTAAAAGACATTTTGAAATAATAAGAGCAGTTTAAATGTTAAAGACACGTGGAAGCAGACTAGAAGGATGAAACCCACATAACGGAGTACGTGTCGAATTCCATGAAGATAATCGTTTTCAACTGTTAACATTGTAATAGTATATAAGACAAGTTCAGTCATGTAACGAGGGTCATAAAATTCATTAAGTATTATCTATAAAACTTAAGTATCCAAGTCACAGAAAGAAAAGAGTTTGTGAGAAGATGTATGAATTTGTGTTCTTTATTTTAATCTTATATATTTGAAACATTTACTTGAATGATTTTTATTATGTTCTTTGTTCATTCCTTATTTCCAAAGCAATTATGCATTATTTCAATTATAGTTATATCTAAATTTTTGACATTGAAACATCAATATTTAAAGCACAAACATATTCTTTTCAAATATTTTGCACAAATATGTCCTTGGATTTTTTCGAGTTTAATTCTATAAGTGAATGAAAATTTGTGATTTGATTTACCAAAAACACCGGTAAACATGGACAAACCATTTGATTCTTCAATTTCCAAAGCAATGTAATCAAATTTGGAGGAGAAATTATGCATTTTTTTGTTCATGATTGTTCTCCATGTGCAACGATAAATTTTCTTCTCAATGTTTGTAAACATACTTTTTGAATTTTTCATCATCATCATGATGTTTCTCAATAATGTTTCATATCTATTTTGATGAAGTAACATTCTCAATTTTCTAAAAATTGACAATATCAATGCATCAATAGATAAAGAACATCGTCTTGAAATAACATGAACATCTCATGCATCATTAGGAAGATGTTACAGACATGTTTTCATTTGATTTCATATGTGAACCCAAAGATCACCATCATTTGCTCGCTCCATCTATTCTAATTATTATTGTCATTTCTCTGTGAAATCATTTTCAAGATTTTCTAAAAACAACTCACAGTCTTCACTCGATAATCAAGTAAAATGGACATTAAATCTTCGACACATATGAATCTAAGAGCCTCAAGCTCTTTGAATACCACTTATTAGAACTATACACACGTACATAGGAGTGAGAAAGAGAGAGTGTAATTTACATTAATGAACCAATAATGATTACTTATACAACACTAGTTAGATTTAGAAACACTAAAAAGACTTTACAACCTAACCAACTTAGTTATTTATGCGACAAATAACTTAACTAACACCTTATATACTTAAATTACACTTTTTTTTACGGTAAACAAACTCATGCATGAGATGAAATAGAGAGAACACAAGCATAGTAAAAGATATCGTGTTAGGACACTTCTCATCCATATTCTAAAAACAACACTAATAATTAAGCCAACTAGGATATGGACATCAATAAACTTTGAGAATTTAGAAACCAATAAAGAGTTACCAATCCAATTCCTTAATCCAAGAAACCAAGCAAATTTCTTCGACATGTGATAAGTGAGTTTAGGAACCACAACCTTTAAATTCATCCAGTTATGTGTCATTTCTTTAGCTTTGGGACGCATAATTCGATTATATAGGTTCTCTAGTTTGATTAAACTCACAATTTATAGAAGAATCATTTGTTGACTGAAAAAGAGAGTTTGATTTGCAACAAGCATTGTTAAATTCTCACTCATAAACACATATCCTTCATCCAAACTTCTTTGAGGCATTTCATCAAACACTATGAACAAAAATTTAAAACAACCTAAACATAAGAACAACATAACAACAAAATCAAGAAACAACACAAACACAATAACATAACCATAACAGGTACACAAACACAAAACTTTAGAAATTTCATATCTTATGGTGGTGGAGGTCGTTTTTAATGTTCGGACCACTTTGGTCCATTGGTTGGTGAAGATGATTTTGGAGTTGCAAGCATTTGATGGTTGTTGGCAGAGATGAGGGAGAACTTGATGGAGGTTAGAGGTAGAATAAGACATGGATTCAACATAGATGAGTAATTCAAAGAAGTGAGAAGGAAGGAAGAAAAAATTACAGTCGAAGAGAAACCTCCATTCAAGAGAAGACAATCTCTATGTTGGCAGAGAGAAACTTCGATGATGGAGGAGGAATTACCTACAAAAAGGAAAAAAGTTTCTTTCTCTAAAAGTCTTCATTCTCTCTAACTTCTTTTCTTGAGTTTTAGTTATTCATAAATTATACGTTAAAGAGCTAAAATTTCTATAAATCACAATTTAAATTTAGAAATGGTGAGAATTATATTTAAGAATAATGTTAGCAAGATATATTTTAACATTTTCTTTTACTAGTTGAAATTCATATAAAACTCACCAAATTTATATGAAATCTATATAATTTAGTGAGATTTGTTATTATTTCTCTACTATCCAAACAAAATTAAAATGGATGGGAGGAAAAGTGATATAAACAAAGGAAATGCGTCTTTAGGGAGGTATTTATCCAATTATTTTATGAACTTTATTAGACATTGTCTTAATAATATTTTACACCGTCTAAATCATAATTGTTAAAATTTTAAAAGTATCTAATTTTCTATTTTAATTACTTATAAAGTAATTTTTTGAACCATTGTGATGCACGTAATTTTTTTACGTGGAATAACAATTAATCTTTAATTTTATATCATAAAAAAAATTAATCAATACATATTGACTATGTAAAAATACTTTAAAAGTAAATGAATGGTTGTGATGCATTAATATTAATAGGTAAAAAATTTCCATTGATTGGAGGTTGCAATTAAACATTGCCAAAAGTTAATAATAAATTAAAAATAATAATATAAATAAAAGAGAAAATAAATTTTTTTTTGTCAATTATTTTATAGGTAAAACATAGTTTTGTAAAAGAGAAAATAATAATAGTCATAGGTAAAACATTTCCATTAATTGGGGGTTGCAATTAAACATTGTCAATTATGTTTTTTTTTTTTTTGTTTTAATTTAAGAAGTCTGACGACAAAACTCATTGCACACTAATCGTGGAGAAGACATGTATTGTAAGTTACAACCCTTATCCAACTTGTTTAATTTGAACACATACATTTTCTTAAAAAGTAGACTAAAAGAGAATACACATAGTTTTGTAAAAAAAAAACATCATATCATACACTTAAAGTTATAATCAAATGGAAAAAAAAAAAGTTATAAGCAAATGGAAAAAGAAAAAAAAGTTATAAGCAAATGGCAATATATTTTATATATTACACCATCATTATCATGATCATTGTATTAAAATACAAATTAGCTGCGGGTTACTATTTTTATTAACCACTTCAGCGTTTCCTACACTTCCTTTCACCCTTTTAGCTTTCGCTTTCCCTTTTCACTTCCTGTTAACCTCTCTAGTAGTAGCATACAAATTCAAAGTACAATCTTACGCTTGAACCTTCATTATATTAATATAATTATCATATCAAACCCTACCAATAACAAGAAAGACAAATCAACACCTAGTCACAATTAATTGTCATTCTCTCTCTATCTTCATCTCATTCACCATGCATACAGTAAAAAAAACAACAGTAAAAAAAATATTAGGAAGGTGTCATTGATGTGAATCATCATTAGACTCTAAAATTCTTTCCGGTGAAAGTTTGACCAAATTGCCAATTAGGAGGAGCAATGTTCCAAGAAGTTGAAGATCTACGGTCACTGCTCGAGACACGGAAAGACAAAGCCTGGCCCACCAAAACCGCGTTCGATTGCCAGTTCTGACCCCAGTTTCGGCTCAGTGGCATCCACCCGGTTCGGGTTCCTTTCACGTACGCGCGCACGATATCACCAGCACCCGCCACGTTGCTAATTAGCACCAGGTTAAAGTAACGGAATCCATTCACGGTGAATCTTATTCCCCCGCGCTTTCTACATGGCACCCTGCGTAAATATCAACCAATTTCGTCACCACTTTTGACTTTTCACATCTTAAAAAAAACTTTTTTATTTTTACACATATTCTATATACCCTACCATAATTAATACCAATTTCAACTTTTTTCGTACAGTCTATATCACTTATCTTTAATTAACAATTTTTTCATGGTTGAGTAGATGTGCATATTAAATAGGAATGGGTGTAATTAAGAAAAATAATTATAAAGCAAAAGTTAACTAAAAAAGTAAGAAAATATGAATTCAAAAGTACAATAATCCTTAATGAACAAACAGCCCTATTAGGCTATCACTTAACCTACTTATGCTATACTTGTACAATTAATTGAGTACCAAAGCAACGAAAAAGTTAAAGACCAATAGAAAGAAGATACATGGATGGTTTCGTGCAGAGTTTCGTAACCCTACCCCACCTCATGAATCAGACACAGATCATGTGTGAACTGCAGAGTTTTTTACATAACCAAACAAAAGTCCAAAATGCCATCAATTTGACACAAGCAACCATATACGGAAATGAATGAAGTAACTATGGTTTATAATGTCAACTTTTTTTTCTCATTAACTCTTAATTATTTTACCTCTTTTAATACAACTAACTTTAAAGCAGCATTAACTAAAAATTAAAAATTAAAAATAAATTCGAGAGATTAATCTTTGAAGTTGATGAACAGAGACTATACTAACCTGCGATAAGCAACGGGGACTATACCGGCACGATACTCAGCAATCTTAAGAAACATAGGCATGGCGAGATCAAAATGAGGCCGAGGAGGGTTACACCAACCGCCATTATCATTTGGAAGAGCAAAATTAGGAGGACAAAAGTTAGTTGCAGTGATTAAAATGGAAGGACTTCCCGAATGACACCATTCTCTGTCGTTAGCACACTTTATCTCAAAACACGCACCACAGCTCAGACCACTGTTGAACAAAGCAGTGCTCAATGCCGCCGTGTTCACTCCGTAACCCTGACTGTATAAATTCCCATAACCACATGCTCCACCTAACCACCAATTTAACAAATTAACACAAAGTAAACAAAAACATAATCATGTAACATTTTACTGTTTTTTAATGTTTAATTAGGTACATTATATTGTATTGTACATACCCATGGTGCCGGAAGCATCAGATCCGCCGTAGAAAGTAGCATGAGCAGTTTGCCATTGGCCACCAGAGTAAATTCCTGGAATTTTGGCTTCAACAATCGACATTGTGTAGATGATGAAGGCAATGTAGAGGATTTTGGCCACCATGGTTATTCCTAGGTTTTTTATTTTCTTCAAGAATGAGAGATTTAAGTAAGAAACAGAGTAGCCTAGAGATTAATTGAGAGGTGTGAGTTGATTGGAGAGTGGAAGAGGGAGGGTGGAGTACTTATGGAGTGGGGAAGTGCTGGTTACAGCAACTTGCTTTGTAGGGGTAATTTTTGGAATTTATTTATATTTTTTTTATTTTCTGTCATTATTAATTTTAATACTTCTCTTATCTAATTTAATTAATAGTACTCAGAAAAATGAAGAAAGAAAAGCAGTTGCTTAGTTTAGATACTCTAGTTTTGAACACGTATACACCACTATCCAATTGTGTTCGATTTACACTATATTGGTTTGAGATTGCTACTAACGTTCTTTCATGCGCGTGGTTTATCGACAAGCCATTTGCATAATAGTGCGTGATCCTCCAATTAGATACGGATTAAGTGACAGGAAAATAGAGAAAAGAAATAAAATTTTAAAAAAAACTTTAGAAGGGGTAGATCATATAATGAGAGGGACAAATTAATAAATGAAAGTTTAAGTATTTAGCTTTAAGGTGGATGGACAAAAGTGTCCTTGGAAAATATTGCGTATTGTAGTGAGGTTGGATGACGTCAGAAAGCAAAACCTGGGGATAAAGTGGGAAAAGGCAAATGCTGCTTCGTGTTGTAACTGTATCGTAGAGTAGAGATTATTGAAAGAAGAAAAGTAAGAGTAAAAGAAAGCGACAAAAGAAGAAAGTTAAAGGAAGAAAATGGGGATGGTTAAAAGTTAAAACGACCTAAGATTTAAAGGGGGCTGTTGAGGCGTGATTAGCGGGTGTAATTGAGGGAAGTAGGGTGGGGCCAACGATTTTATTGATATTCTATGTTTTTTGGTCTAGTTATTGATATTTTATAATTTTTTTTGTGTGAATGTTATATTTTATAATTATAATTACTATTTTGTTTTGGAATCGTAATTAAATATAAGTTGGTGATGTGTAATCTTAAATTTGTAGTTTTGATCGGTGGGTTAACATTTTCATGTCTAAATTAGTTTAACATTTAAAATGAGTATAGTGAAAAGTGCAAATCATGAAAATGTATCTTGCATTTTACATGAAGTGTTTTTTTATATCTTGGATCATGTGGATTGAATTGACAAATTTAAGCCTTAGCAATTTGGGTCTTTGGTTGGCGCAAAACAGTTGCCTACAAGGCTTGTCAGGCGTTTAGGGAGTCGGAGAAGTCTTTAGCGGTCGTGGCCGGCCTTCAAGGATTTCGTTTGCTTCGAAATAGAAGTGGAAACACTTGGAGTCTGTTGAAAAAGTAGTGGAGAACAAGCACATTAAATGCATTTCCATCATTGAAACGTTTTGCTGCTTCTTTCTGACACGTTGGCTGAAGTGGCTAGTTAGGGTATGACGCTCCTTATATTGCATTCAAATTTTTTTATGTTTCCAAGAAAAAATCCATCATTGATTTTGTAAGTTCCCTATGCGCTCAATATATATAATGGCATATTGAGCGTGGAGGAAACTTTTCGCAATTCTTGAAAGTCAGTGTCCATTCACAAACGTTTCTTATTAGCAAGTGTCTTCATCTCTTTCTTTCTGAAAATACTTACTAGAATAGTTGCAACTATTTTCTTAAAGCTTCTATCATTCTTCATTACATTTGTTTCACCTACTTCGCCTTATTAGTTACCCTTTTCAACTCAAACTTTTACCTTTATTATTTTATATTCTTTGGTCAAGATGAGTTATAGTCTTATTCACATAGTGATTCTGAGAGTGATGTTTCTTTCATTGTGGGAACAAGGGTATCTCTTGACTCAATTTCCCCTCTCCTTTCCCATGGTTGCATGGCCCACATAATTGTGTGCTTGACCGATGATTATGATTCGGAAAGGGTATCGGTGAACTCTCTTGATGAGAAGGCTTCCTCCCTGAATCATTTCTTTGTCTTCTTGTCAGATAATGACGCTGAGGAGGGTCATATTATTGTTCTTATGCCTCTCTCATTTTTTCTGCTACAAAAATACTAGTTGCTAAGTTGTGGAAAGAACGCGTTGGGGATTTCGTTCAGACTTGCCAGAGAACCTACAACCGTGAACCTAGTGATGCTGAAATCAAGACCCACATGAAACATAAGGGTACACTAGATGTAGTTTATTGGCTCAAGCTTGATGAGCATTTTAAAGTTGACAAGCTATCTTAGAGGGGTGTGACATTATTGGAGCCGACCGACACTAGGCAATATGGCTGGGTGGATGCAAATTTTATGGGAAACTCATCTGTTATGAATACTAAAATGACCATAGATGCTCTCTGCATCATGATTGGCGACCTGTTGGATTGGTCGGTCCTTCCCGTGGATTCAAAGAAAATGATATATAACTTCTTTGATGGGTGTTAGGTTTCCTTTTATGAGTGTGTGTTTGCAAGAATAGGATTGTGTTAGAACACATATTGGTTCTTAATTATATCTCTATGTTTTGATGATAACTCTTACGAAATTTTGTATTAAAGAATTATATACTCTAAAATTTGTTTAAGAATGTTTGCTGCAGATATCAAAGTGAATATTATTCTAAAAGCAAATTAGAACTAAACATGGAATTATGCAAGGCTCTGAAGCGTCAGAAGCATCTCCTAGAAGAATCTGAACGCTGCCTACAGAAGATTCTGAAGCAGAAGCTACAGAAGGATCTGAAGCAGAAGCTACAGAAGCATCTGAAGTATTGAAGATTTTTGTATGAAGAGTTTCAAGCTTAGTTTATTTTAGAAGACTCTGATAGTACTACGCTTCCAGTACTGAGGATCTGATTCCTAAAACTCTGCTCTAATGAAATTACACGCTGAAAGCACACTTGCTGCAATGCTCTAATTCAGCAAATTCTGATGAACATCAAAGGCTCTGATCACTCAAGGCTCTGATGTTATTTGCTGAAACTTGTTGAAGAAGAATTCAATGTTATGTCTGTTGGTTTGGCCAAACGACTCTTTTCTCATTTATGCTAGACACAAGAACACGGACAAAAAGGATTTATCTGTGCATTCTACTTCTAGGAAATGTCATGTGATGTAAAGACAAAAAGGCTCAGCCCTTTTCAGTATACAGCCTTCAACGTGAAAACTACTTGGACTTCTGTGCCTATAAAAGCAAGACTTCATCTCTCTTCTTCAGTTGACGAAATATTGAAAGAATTCAAAGAAAGCTCTCATACAACTTATTCTCATTGCTGAATTTATTTCATTGTTCTTAAACTTAAGTGTAAAATCACAGTTGTGATATAGCTTACTTAGAAGCATTTAAACACTTGTTTAGTTTTACATATTGATTGTAAAAGTCCTTAAGAAGATCCAGTTGTGATCAGTTGTTCTTAAGAAGACTAAGAATAATTGTTCTTAGTGCTTGCTATTGTAATCAGTTTGATTAATAATGGATTAAGTCCTTGTTGAGAAAGGAAAATCACTCTTGATAGGGTGGACTGGAGTAGTTGAGTTCAACGAACCAGGATAAAAATCTTTGAGTTTTTATTGCCATAATATTTTCTCTATACTTATTCAACCCCCCTTTCTAAGTATTTTCTCACCTTCAGTTGGCATCAGAGCTCCGGTTCTGTGTGTGCTACCATTTCGCCGTGACAGAAAAGATCCAGTGAGAAAACTTTGATATATATTTGGTTCTTATTATGGCTGAAACTTCAACATCTAACAGCAATAACAGATATGAAGAAAGGGAAAGAATCAGCACAAAACCCCTTATGTTTGATGGGGAGAAATTTGATTATTGGAAGGACAGGATAGAAAGTTTCTTCCTTGGTTATGATGCTGATTTATGGGACTTGGTCATTGATGGGTATGTTCATCCCACTGATGGGAATGGCAAGAAAGTTGATAGAAAATCAATGACTGAAGCTCAAAAGAAGGAGTTCAGAAATCATCACAAAGCTAGAACAATCTTGTTAAATGCAATATCTCATACTGAGTATGAGAAGATCACAAACAGAGAAACTGCATTTTACTTGTTTGAGTCTTTGAAGATGACACATGAAGGAAACCTTCAAGTTAAAGAGACCAAGGCTCTGGCGCTAATACATAAGTATGAAGCGTTCAAAATGGAAGAATCTGAGTATATAGAAACTATGTTCTCTAGATTCCAGATCCTCACAGCTGGTCTAAAAGTACTGGACAAAGGCTACTCAACTGCTGATCATGTGAAGAAGATCATCAGAAGCTTGCCTATCAGATGGAGACCTATGGTCAATGCTCTGAAGCTTGCCAAGGATCTGAACAAGATCACTTTGGAGGAACTAATCAACTCACTAAGGAGCCATGAAATTGAACTTGAGGAAGATGAGCCTCAAAAGAAAGGTAAGTCAATTGCCTTAAAATTTAACAAATCTGTGAAAGCTTTGCAGGTGTTAGAAGAGAGTTCTGAAGAGTCTTCTTCTGAAGAAGAAGATGAACTGTCCTTGCTGTCCAGAAGAATCAACAAACTCTGGAAGCACAAACAGAGGAAGTTCAAGAACTTCAAGAAGCCAGATCAGCACAAGGAGTCCTCTGGACCAAAAAGATCTGGAAAGAAGGAAGTTGTTTATTTTGAATGCAAACAACCTGGTCATTACAAAAATGAATGTCTAAAGCTTCAGAAAGAAAAGCCCAGAAGAAAGCCTGAGCACAAGAAGAAGGTTCTAATGGAAACCTGGGATGATTCAGATGAATCTGGATCCTCATCAGAATCTGAAGATGAATGCGCCAACATGGCTCTGATGGCAGGCGTGGAAGATCAGAATGAAGGATCATCTGGATCTGAGTGTGATTCTGAATCTAACTCAGAAGAGGTACTTTCTGATCTCACTAGGGAAGAGCTTATTAAAGTCTTATCAGAAGTTCTGAAAAACTATAACCAGATTAAGCTCAAATGCAAGAAGCTTAAATGCAATCTTGAATCTGAGAATATTTTGTTAAAGTCAGAAGTTGCTGAGCTAAAAGAAAACAATTTAAAAAT